CTTTTAGCAGTGTAAGACCTTAGGCATTGCTTCATCTTCATCTTTTCCACTTATGTAACTTATTTAAATTTGTCATGCCTTTTTTAATGTTAGTATGGTACTTTTCTGTTCTTAATAGTAACTGAAAGAGATTAGCAGGAAAAATAAAATAGTAATAATAATAACAATATTATTACCAACAATGATAATACTAGCATAAAAAGCAATAACTATAAAGATATAATGTTAATGCCTAACAACTTGCTAAATATCAAACCATTTCAGTTTTACTTCTAGGGTCCAAATTCATTACACAGGAAAACAAGCACGATAAATTGTCTCAGCTACTTAATACACTAAAAGTATTAATGGAGGAATCAGCATGCTCGAATGAAAAGAGAAGAGAGATGGTTCACAGCCTAAAGCCCTATGAGCATGCTCAAAGGGAACAACGAAGCACAAGCAGGAGTAAGAGAGAACAAGGACAGAAGAGAGAGAGAGAAAGAGAGAGACGAACATGTGAGTGGTTAGTTATGGGAACGCTGGGTGTCGCTTGCTATAGAACCGTGAGCGCGCTCAGGTGGAACGCCAGGCCTCGGGGTCGTCCACCAGGATGGCGCTTTGGGAGTTGACAGGGCCTGTGTTTTGCTGAGCAGCCGCAATCATGTCTTCCCGGCTACCCCTAAGTGCAATACAAGGACCACACATTCGTGCCAGATTAGCTGCAAACTGGAACTTTGACAAAGCCTATGTCTAGAGTGTGTGTGTGTGCTCTGTGTGTATATGTATAGGAATATGTACAAAACCACACACACACACACACACACACACACACACACACACACACACACACACACACACACACACACACTTACACACACTTACACACACACACACAAACATACACACATACAAACACACACAAACATAACACATACAAACAACACAAACATACACACATACAAACACACACACACACACACACAAACACACACACACATACACACACACACACACACACACACACACACACACACACACACACACACACACACACACACACATATATAAATGGCATGTACTCAATTATTCACTCACTCACTCAATAACACAATTTCATGCACACTCACTCACAAAATAACACATACATATCTTTGCATTTATATATATACACACTTTCATATAAATAATGTAAGTATATATATACAATTATGCAGACATTTAAGACATACAATCACAAATAAACAAGTGGCATTTTTTTGTGTCAATTACCCTAAAGAACTATAAAGTCTGTGCATTGAGCCACTTTTGGTATTAACCCACTCAATATAATTTTCTGGCACCATATCAGGCCAATCACTCAGAAAAAAAATGAGAAGCACGTAAAACATATATTTACCCCACTATTTACACTCTTACTGTGACATAAATGAACAATACGGATATCATGCCAAACAGAGGATTTCGGCCTACTTTTGAGGGACTGCTTCCCCTCGTTGACCACAGCCTGGGCCAAACAAACTAAGAACTTTGAGCAGACATGATAGGACATCACCTACCGTGAGTGATGATTGCACCATAACTTGACAGAACCTTAACAGCATGCATAGAGTTCAAAGAAATTTAGCATTATCAATCTATTCAAGATGGTTAACCCATTAGCATTCAAGCCAAAAATAATGGTTTCCTGGCAGAGATTTAGAGATTGGGCCAGTCAGGGAATCTGCCTGCACGCCGCCCGCCATGGGCGACAAAATCAGTGGGCAAACTCCGATCTAGCATCGCACTGGTGGGACGCCTGGTAATGTTTATTTTTCTGGGTGTCTCATATGTGTGACACCCATCATAAGTGGGTTAATATTCTGGACTGCATAGCTCGTTATTCATCAACCAGGAAAAGAACTAGTGACATAATTAGGTATCATCCAACTACTTGGATCTTTTACCCTGGTATGAAAAAATGTCACACATCATGATTGTGTTAAATGACATATATAATTTGTTGTGTTATTATAGGATTATTAGACACAATCAACACTTAATTAATGACAAAGTTTCATCTTAAGATCTTAATAGATTTCCTCTACATCTTATCCACTACAACATTACTCTTTCATTCTTACAATACATAAATATTTGTCCTTCAATGAAGTTTTTTTTATAGATATTTTGTAATTGAAATGGCATTTCTCGTCTAGCCTTTAAAGACTATGAAAAGCTTAGTCTTTCACCCCTCAGTAACAGATACGGCTATAGTCATCATGATGTAATGACCTATGACATGTATATACATCATGACTCGCAACAGGTAGGTCAGCTGTATACAGCTTAGGCCTAGCCACAAAGTCTAGAGTGTTGGATTATATCAAATCACAAATTAATCATGCCTCACCATTATAGTGTTAAGGATTCAATTACTGGGCCTACATGATCACACCTGCTTACTCTATTCATTGAGCTTTCAGAAAGAATGGATTTTCTTCTAATTCTTATTATTATCATGATTACTATCAATATAATT